CTGCTGAACGTGCTTCTTTGTCCCTGCTCTCACCCTCTGAGCACATTACAGAGGGAAGAAGTAAATCCTTTACCTTACAACTGCAACAATGAAGTCATCAGGTCCCATGACGAGGACCTGGCTAGCAGCGGGTCCACTCTCCATGGAGAAGTGAGGCACATGGACATCAGATGAGAAGGACTGGGAGTCATTAATCAGCTGGCGCAGGGAGTTAGCTTCAGATTTACTTCAGCAGCAAGGCAGCAAAAGAGAAAAGCAAGGCATGAGCCTATGAAGCTGAGCATCTCTTGCAGTACATCTATGCAGCTACTGGTGGTGTCTTCCTGAGGGAGCTGGCACTGAGGGCAGGGAGCTCCTCCAGGTCACCCAACGGAAGGAGACAACAGGAGTCAGTCTGCACAGACAGGCAACGCCATGGACCTCCCTGCTCTCTTTACAGGGTAAACTCACCCCTGAAGAACAAGGGGTGGCAGCACCCAGCTGAATGCAGTTCCTCAGGAGGAGGGTAAGCCCAGTCCAGCTCTGGCCACCAACTGTGGCTAAACCTGGCTCTGAGGTGGGAGCCTGGGCTGAAGCCCCAGGCCCGCATGTTCTGCAAAGGCACTGAGCCCCATGGTGGGAAAGGAGAGCCAGAAACTGCTTGTGTGGTCACAACCACACGGACGGCTGTTTGTCCAACCTGCTGAGAAGGAATATTAGGAGGGTGAGAACCTGTGAGGATTATGCTGACTCCAGGAAACCTCTGTGTGAGGACATCCCATAACCCATCCCTAGAGCCCTGTGGCATTAGCTGTGATCCTTGTGGAAGCGTGAGCCCTAGGAGGACACTCAAGGACTGACCTGTCCTCAGTAAAACAGAGGAAGGAAAAAATCAGGTTTCCCTGTGCACTCAAAAGATGATATGCAAACCACACACCTTCCCACTGTGACTGTGCCCATCAGCCTCAGACCTACCTCATCATGCTTTCTGCAGCGTGAGTGACGGACACATCATCAGATGGGTCTCCCAGGTTGCTAGCTAGGCTCAGGGCTATTTTTAATGTCTAAATTGAATACAGAAAGAAGGAAAGAAGGAAAAAAGAAAGGAGAAAAGGAAGAAAAACATTTAGGTGGCCCTGGAAATACAACTTCTGATATTCCAAACATGAAGAGGTATTGTTGCTGCCTCTGGCCAGAAGCTCTGCTGGCACAGCACCACTGTTGAGCAGAAACGAGCTATTCTGCTCATCAGCTGCTACCCATGTTCCTAGCTGTAAGTCATCCAAAGTGTTTGAACAGGAAGCGTTAGTCCCAGCACACTTAAGGGAATGATGGTGTGAGAAGAGGAAGAGGTCTGGTTTCTCATACATGCAGAATCCTGCTTCAGCCAGTCCATTAAAAACGGGAAGATGCGATTTCGAAAGACACAGTTTATCCAGCCCTGGTTTTACAGTGCATAGCCAGAGGACAGCCACGAGAAGAAATGTTCTCTTCAATCTAACCAGCCTGTGCCTAGCAGAAATGCACTAGACTTTCAGCTTGCAGCTCATGCCATTTTCATTCAAGATTCAAGACAGTACATTACCCTGCAGGTCACTAGCTAGATGTGACTTCTGTTTTGGTATGTGCCACGCATCAACTTCTCCTGAAGCATCAACATTTACCTTCTGACATACAGTGTAGAACATGATTAACTTCTGGAGAAGGTGACTTTTCCATGAAACAGCCTCCTGACCACCATATCATGCAGAGGATGTACAAGAGGTTTGGTGGCCAAGGAAGAGCTCCACTGAAACAAGCAGACCATGTTCACCCCTTAGCACAGGTTAAGGACATATTGGACTGTCTGAATCTCAGCCACGTGTTCAGCCATGTGATCCCAAGTAAGCAGGGTTACACATCTTCTGAAGTGACTGCCCTTTATCGGGAGGTTGCTGTCCCTCAGCTGGGTAACCAGGGGGTGAAACTCTTGGCCTGGTGCAAATGCAGAGCACAAAGATTCATCCAAAGCTTATAGAATATAACGCAAAAATAAGTTGCGTGAGTCAGCCTTCTCTGCCTCTGCACAGGCAGTTGCAGCACGTAACACCTCCAGTTGTTGCATTGTTGCTGAGAGGCAGTAACTTCCAAGCACCTGCCTGCTACAAGGATGTGGTTACATCCCTGCTTAAAATTCCCAACTCATAAAACCCAGCTCTGGATCAGTTAAGCATCTAAGAACATAACTCTGCTTACAGAGCAGCAAACAGCACTTGCTTGACTTCCTGGGAAGCTGCAACATTTTGGTAGGGCTGACAGCCCTAAAACCTGGAAAAATCATTAGTTGGATCACTGAGATCATGAGGTAGGCTAAAATGTAAAGATTTAAAAGATATATAAAGTGTTGTGTCAGTTTTCCATGTCATTGCCACATTGCTGACACCCTTAGCAGCGCTCTGGTATGGCCAAGGCCACTGGAGGTAGGAGGTGGAGGAAATAGATGGGACCAGGCTCAGCTGCTGCAGGCTCATTCTGAAGAGATGACTGCATACAAGGAATGGGCAAAAGCCACAGTTTGTTCTTCTGACAAAGCTCTGCTTAAGCAAGAAAAAGCTCAGCTGAGCAGGAGGCTCCAGCGTCTGCACCTACCTGAGGCAGCAGCACAGCTCAGATTTACACCTTAGCAGTCTATTTGCTCATTGTCCTCTGGAAATTACCTACGAACATTTTTGTACAACCAAGGAATAAATAAATTATTCTCTAGCAGCACAAGGAATTCAGCCAAATGTTGAACCTCCTCCTACCTCTGCCATCCAGTGCAAGATATTCCCCCGGGGTACTTGACTGGTGATGTTAAAGCCCTCGAGGATGTTCAGTGCTGTGATCAGTGCAGGACCTGCATGTGGAGGTGGGGGACTGAAAACAAGATGACCTGGGAAGGGAAAAGGAGAGGAATGAAGCTGCTTTTGCCAGATATTGTCCAGTTATAACTTTCTCACAAGCTAGGGTCCTTGAGGACAGGGAAACCTTTCAGATTTGAGGGGAAATGATGGAAAGTGGTATGATTTGAAAAGGATTTCCCAAAACATTTTTGTTGTATCTTTCTGCTTCTTTATGACGGATGAAGGAAGACCAAATTGGGATGGTTTTTTTACATCTGAAATTCAGTTCTTGCTGGTTGGCTGCTTGGTTTCTGAACCATAGTATGGAAGAATGGAGGGAAAATGGGTTTGCAACGTTACAGCTGTAAGGAGAGTAAATACAGGGATTTCTAGAAAAGAATGACAACTTTGGGAACTGTCTTCAGATGTAGCCACTAGCCTTTGGTCCAGCTTCTATCTAGGCACTGCATCAATATGTGATGATGTTGCATCTTTACACTCTCACAGTATCAAAATACCATTGGTCACTATCAAGGAAAACCAGGCTCATTTCGAAGTGCTGAAAACCTCCTGAGCTGCCTATGACCATCAGTGTTAGAGCAGGAAACTCCCCGGAGGGCTTTTCTGCAGACACCTCAGTGCCTCTCCTTAAATACTGTCACCACCTCTTGCCAGGAGAAGCACACTTCTAGCTGGAGTTGCATGGCCACGGGTTTACCTCGATAGACTGTGTGGATGGGATTCTCCACCGTGACACTGTAATTGCTGAAGTCTTCCTCCACCAAGACTCCTCCGTAGTTGCGGACCTGCGTAGGAGAGCAAAGCAGAGCACACTGAGAAAGCCAGGCCCAGGCTTTCTGTGTTCCTCGTGCTGGCCCAGGTGAACACTTGTTCTGTCAGCAGAACAATGGGCCAACTCTTTCCTTCCACCCAGGAAATACCACACAACCTGTGAGAGGTTCTGCTGGGTCGAGTTGCTGCTATGAGTCCTCTGGATTTCCATCCAAAAATGGGCAAGAACAAGAAACCTGTGCATGCTCTGGTTTCTAAACTAGGCAGCTAACTTGGCAAGAAAACTTCTTCTCTGGCAGAAATGGATGAATCACAGGAGCAGGAAAGCTAATACAGGGGGGTTGGAACTAGCTGATTTTTAAGGTCCCTTCCAACCTAAACCATTCTATGATCCTATGTTGTGAGAGACAGCACATCAAACCACCCCAAAGCTGCAAAAGAAGATGTATCCCCTACTTGGGATCCCTGCCTGCTTCCTGAAGCAGTTACAGAGAAGAAGCCAGATTGAACCCAAGGTTTCATGGAGCTCGGACAGTGGAAAAGCAGCAAAGCAGCAGGGAGTGGAGCAGGAAAAGCCTGATGGCACAGACAGAGGAGAAGCCCTGGTCAGCCACACACTGCAGACACCATCTCAAATTCCCCAGAGAGCACATTCTTGAACCTGTGCCTTCCTGCCACAGGATGGAAACAAAGGGCAGGGTGTTTTGGAGCTTTACTTGATTTCACCACATCAATGCCCTCCCTTTCCTGGAGCAATAAACACTGTGGGAAGCCAGCACTTTGCTCTGCCCTGCAACCAAAGCTGGAATTGTGCACTCGATCCCAGAAATGGCCAGGGGCTTCGGTGTTCAACTCTGGGTTTTCCTCCTGCACAGAGAGTCTGTGCTTCCCTGCAGCATCCTTCAGTCAGTGGAATGGGGTGATAAAGCAGGGTTTAGCCATGGGGATGCACACTGAGCTTGGTGCATTCCTGGTTTCCATTCCACTTTTCCCATTCCTGGTTCTCCACCTCTGTTGTGGTTCACGTGAACCACAGGAAATTTCCAAAGAGGGAGCTCACAGATGTCTAAGGCCTGCACTGAATGAACCCATCCCAGCTTACTGATGACATGTTGAAGGTGCATCACTTGAAGCACAGTGGTGGGGACAACTGGTGCCACCAACCACTCCGACTGCAGCTCCACAGGTATAAAAGTTGTTTGGGGTTTTTTTACCAGAGTAAGTACTTTGTTGTTACTATTTTTTCAAGACCACCCCTGACAACAGGAGTTAAACTGGGGCAAGCCCAAGTGGGACCAAGCCTGGCTGCTGCTCTGCTCACAAGGCTCACAGTTTGCTTTTTAAACCATATTCCTGGGGTCTACATCTTATAGTCCCACTAACAGCAAACATTTGCTTCTCAACCATGGGGCACCTCTCATTATGGGGAAAAGGCTGGTGGCACTAAAACAGCCCAGAGGGGGCTTGAAATTGAGACACCTTTTTTCTTTGAAAAACCAGCCCATCCTGGTTATAAGGAAATGCAGGTTTCAGTTCTGTGGGCTGTGGAAGTGACCCGTGTGTCACTTACACCACTGCAGTGACATGGACAGGACAAGAAAAAGAGGCTCCACACTTTTGTCCCCATCACTGTGCTGACTCTTGATATGGCAGATCTCCATCCAGGTTGTCACCTTAAGCAGGTGTCACCTTGACCTGGGCTGTGCTGTGTGGTCTGGGGCAGAGACGGGGGCAGACACGGCTCACCTCCGAGATTATCTCCTGGGTCAAGTTCCCACTGTAGAAAGCAGACACTCCTTCTGTCCCCACCAGCTCCAAGACGGCAGCAAGGTCCAGGCGCCTGACGAACATCCCGGGAAGCAGGGGCTGCCCATCCGGCAGGAAGATCTCCCGGAACTTGTCAGAGTAGTTCAGCTCCTTCAGTTCACTTACGGCTTTGGCTGCAGGTGAGAAGGGGAAGGACATCCAGAAAAGGCAGGGTGCAGGGATGCACAGGGGACATGGAATCACTGTGCCTGATGGGGATGCTGGAGCCTTGCTGCTGCTCTTGCCCTGTTCCACAACTAGAGGGAGGCTGGATCATGCATCCGTTAGAGCTGGGAAGGACACCCAAAGAAACCCAGCGCCCTTCCCTGGCTGTCCTCAGGCAGCTGCCCAGCACGGGCTGCTCTGACCTGGCCCTGACCAGCCCTGGGAAAGGGCTCCAGTTTTGCTGCCACCACACTCTCCCTTGCAGACCACGGCTCATGCATTGCTCAGCTCCCAACACCATTCATCTCCAGGTCCAGAGAGCCTTGATTTCACCTGAATAGCCATCTACATCCCCATCTGCCTTGCACCCAAGAGCAGTGGCCAGTGTGCTCCTCTGTGCTGAGCAACCACCCTTGGATCCCCATTAGGTGCTCACCCAAATCATGTGTGATATTAAATCCATTCTGGGCAACACCAGCCACAAGACCCAGCAACTTGGACCATTGGAGTCTGCCAAAGGAGAAAGGACAAAGAACATGGTTTGATGACAAGGGCTTGTGTGCTTCCAGCTCCCTTGCAGAGACCCCAGGGCACAGCCTGTGCAGCATGAGGACAGCCCTCCCATGCCAGCCTCATGTCTTACCTCCCGTGTAACTGGTGAGCCTGGTGCATTCCTTGTAGCATGCCCGGCACCCCAACAAGTAGACCTGGCTGTTAAATGGGAAGGACAAAAAGGAAGAATAGTTTCCTTCCCATAAGGACATGGGGCACGGTCCCCAGTTGCAAGTCAGGTTGACATTGGAAGTGTCTGCATGGTCTTTAGGAATGGGGAAGAGGTCTGTAGCAACACAGTGAATTAGGGAATGAAAGTTTTTGGAAGGAAAGAGGCAAATTCAATTCTGGTCTCAACCCAGGCTGATCAGGAGAAATAACTCAACAGAATGACATGGGACTGTGCTCCTTCCTGGGACACTTGGTCTCCCAGCTCCCCACTGGGACATGCCAAAGAAGCATTTTCCCTGGACTCTCCATGTCTGTAGGGCCCTGGGATCTCCCAGATGCTTTCCCCCTTGGCCCAAGAGTAGTGGAGAGAGGAGAGCTGAAGACATCAGCCAGCTACAGCCCTACTGGGTTTGGCCATGGGACACTGGTCCTCACCTTGGTGTCCTTCTGCAGGTCCTCTTCCAGCGGGATGCCCAGAGGAGCCACCTCACGGAAGTCAATCACCCAGCTCCTGTTCTTCCGGATGTCGTGGACCAGCATCACCCCACCCCTGCAGTGAGATGGGGGTCACAGCACTGGCTGTCCTTGCAACAGGACAAAGCCAAAATGAAGAGCAGAGGTGCCGCGGGGGCTGAGGCCAGTGCTGGTGTGATGGGGCCAGCGTAGCAGGTCACCAGCCTCAGCAGTGACTCAGGGCCGGGCAGTGGTGCAGGGGAATGCTGCTGCCCTTCCCCAGGGAGCAGTTCAGGACAACCAAGCCAGGGCCAGTGCAGGATGCAGGCAGCCCCCAAGCTGAGCATGCGGCAAGGCTGGATCAGTCCCTGCCAGACTGGCCAGACGGCCACAGGTCCTGTTCTACTGCCAGGCTGGGACTATCTGGGATTTTCTTTCTTAATCCGAGCAGTTTTGCAACAAACCCGGGTTTTGGCTTACAACAGCAATCCGTGGCACAGCCTGGAGAAGCTATCAGGTGGCAGCGCTTTATGCAATGCTCCTGAGACCTCCTGCAGAGCCAAGAGCACCAGGCTCATGCAGATGCCACCCCGGGAATAAGGGCTGGGATGAGGCCACCCCTCGCCACCACGTCTCCCTCGGCTGCTGCTCAGAGCCAGGCTCAGACCCTAGCCTCCTGCTGCAGCAGGAGCAGAGCTGGTGCAGGGAAGCGCTCAGTCTCTGAGAGCACCGGGACCGAGCCCCGGTGTTGCAAGCTCCTGGCACACTTGCACTGGGGCTCGGCAGCCGGTGGTCATTTTTCAACCCTCTTGAGCCTGATGCTTGTTTTATCTGCCATTATGGCAGATGCAGCTTTTCCGTCCCTGTCCCTTGCTGTCAGTGCACAGGACAGGTCCCCATCCCTGGGCAGATGTGGACACATCCACCACCTGATGTTAGAGACCTGGTACCACATGTTGGTACTTGCGCCGTCATGAAGACACATCTTAACTGGTGGGGGAACCACTTGCTTGAGGACAACCACAGGCACGAGGGTGAGTGACCAACACTTACCCACCAATCCCTGATGTGTGGGGGTTCACGACTCCCGCGCAGAGGGCCGAGGCGATGGCTGCATCTACTGAGGAGCCCTGAGTGTTGAGCACCTCTCTGCCCAGCGCCGTGCAGTGCGCAGCGTCCGTCACCACGGCACCACGGTGGAATATCTGCCAGAAGAGGAGAGCTGAGCCCAGGCAGGGGTGCTGGGACACCCCGACCTTCAGTTCTGTGCCTGAGGCCAGTGCCATGGCTGTGGCTGATGTGCATTTCAAGGTGCCTCCAAACGCCAGTGGGAGTAGTATGTCCCTTGGCACCCCCCTGCATCAGGACAGCTGTGACCATCAGCTCTGACAGCTTTCAACAGCAGACATGCTAAGCTGCTGGGCCACATCTCACCCTGTGCTCCCCAACCCCAGAGCAGGGTTGGACTAATCCTCAAGAGCAAAGGGGGACAGTGTGCTGTCACCGTGCTGCAGCAGTGTGGTCACTGAAAAAGGGGATACAGCTACAAAGAATGCAGCATCCCCCTCATACCACAGCTGCTTCTCATCCTTCCCTGGTGCCTCCACCAGGATTAATGTGATCACAGGTATGAATCCATGATCATGCCGCCTTTGCTCTGCAATCTAGCACTAGTCTGTGGGACAGATCAGCACAAGGTTCAGCTCTGTTTTCAGCTATTCCCCTGCTTGATCCTGGATGGATCCTTCCAGAGGTGAGCCTGGGCATACAGGTCCATAAAACTCTCTCCAAGTGGAGATATATGAAAGATGCCTACTGCTTAACTAGGGGCTGCTTTCAGAAAGCACCCACATCTGGCTCAAACCACAGCTGGAATCACAGCAGCTGGGCTGCCTGTTTCCCCCTGGCAGCACCCCCAAACCTACCAGGCACAGCCTAAGGCAGGCACTAAGAGCCCCACTTGCCTCTCCAAGCACACAGCCACAGCAAAAACCTTTCAAGACAGTTTGGAACTGCAGAGTCAGCACCCAGGGCCTGAGCACCCACTGACACTGGCTGGGGCTCACCTCACTCTGCTAAACTGCTTCTCCTGTTTTCAAAGACAAAGCCTGACCACAAAGCCACTGTTCTGTCTTACCTGAGGGTCCCCAAAGTAGATCTGCATGATGAGGGCCACCGTGACGCCCGTGGCGAAGGTCAGGCAGGCGGTGATGATGACGGTCAGCCCGTCCTGCCGGCAGCTGCAGTCTCCAGAGAAAGGGTCCTTGCTGGTCTCCTGGAGAGGAGACACGTCCTGGCTTCCCATCTCGGATGAGGACGAGGGCAGGCGCTGCAGCCGCGCAGACTTCAGGAAGGAGTCTGGGTCTTTGTGGGCAGCGGGGAGAAAACAAGTGTTAGTTATTGAGCAACACGGAGCTCTTATTGCGGTGTTTACCCAGCACTAACATTACACCGTGCCCCTTACAGCAAGGCTATTACCTTCCCTATTGATCCCAGCTCTCAAGAGACTTTCTGGCTCAGATGCTGCTTTAGGTCATTTTACTGATCCCTTCCTTTAGCTCTAGTTATCCCAAACTGACTTCCCTGGAGATTAAGAGGGACAAAATCCCCCTCAATTTTGCTCCATTTCAGTCCATTCACTAGTCTTCAGTGACAGGCTCAGAGTTACTGCTCCGTTTGGAAGGATTCTTAACACAGCACTGACTTCCAAACGGGTCTCTGAAATGCAGCAATACTGAAGAAGAGGAAATTAAGATATTACAAGGAAAATCCAGCAGCCTTATTTGGAGCTATGCTTGAGCTAAAAGCACCTGAGCAGAACAGAGGTGAAGCAAAACGCATGGCCTGAGCACAGGAAATAAATACCTCTGCTGAAGCATGGCAAGGGGAGGGCAGGGAGGAGCAAACCTGCAAACCGGAGGGCCTCAGGGTGTCCACCCGCTCTGCCGGCAGGGAAGGCTCTGCTTTAATTTCATGCTTCCTCCAGCTGATGAGGCCCACAGTGAAATCAAGTCGCTCGCAGCTCCAAGAAGGCAAATGCAACGGGGCAGGGTCTGCTGGGCATCCACCCGGCAGCAAACAATGCTCAGCAGGATGGAAAAGTCTCTCGTTTTCTCTGAAAGATGCCTTGAATCTCTCTTGCATCAGCTGCTGCCTTTGTGGCAGGGAAGGTGCTGGCTGAGCGTGCCCTGCCTGTGCACGGAGCTGCTGGGCACACAGAGCAGGGACGTGCCTGTCCCTGCCAAGCACCAAATGGAACTGAGCAGCTCAGGGCGTCACCCAGGGCTCCTGGGTGAATTCTCTGGGGGGCTGCCAAGAGCCAGTGATGGCTGCAGTGCCCTGAACATCTGTGGTGGGAAGAGGAGCAAGAGGAGCACCGAGTGGAAAAGACAGAAAACATCCACACAGGGGATGTTTCCTGGCTTTGTGTTAAGGGAGTGAGCAGGAAACCCCCCATGCTCCATCACTGCCCAAGCAGCATCTCCATGACCACTGCCAGCCCTGTCCTTGCCAGGACATTACAAAGACCTTTGGGTGCAGCTCTCCTGGGCCAGGCAGGGAGATAGTTTTCATTTCAGTGACGCTGCAAACAGGAGCAAACCCCCTGCAGCCAGGGAACCCCCTCACAGTGAATTTAGTCTCATTCACGTCGCAGTGATTTAGGTGCATGGCTGGGAAAGGCTCAGCTGGGGTGCCACTGGTGGGGACCACGAGTGGCCTGGCAGGGAGGGCCACTGGGGAGGGATGTCACGTGCAGCCCCCTGCACCCTCAGTGGGTGCAGAAGCAATGAGGAGTGAGCTGGGCTCCTGTGCCCGACCCCTCCGGGACACCGACGCACGGCTCTGCTCCACAGTGCTGCGACAGCACAGCCCAGCACGAGGGGACATGAACATCCATGGAGCAGCCATGGCAGAGGACACGCCATGGCCTCTCCCACCCCTGTGAAAGTCCCTTTGTTCTCTGCCCACACGGCCTTGGGCAAGTCACTTAGTCTCTGTGACCACTGGTGCTGCATGGGGACAACAAGGCGGTCATGTGGGGACAGGGCTGGTGGAAAGGAGTCAGGAGCAGGCTCTGGCAGGCACCACAACGTGGGACTGTGCAGCCCTTTGGGGAGGTTTGTCCCCTGCACCGACAGCACAACAGGGGCCTCCTCTGTTTAATGAGCTCTTCTGGGCATTAGAAACCAAAGGTCTGGGTTCTCTCCCTGCTGGTCCGCGATGTGAAGAAGCACCGCCGGCTTTTGCGACGCGCACACAGTGTCAATGAGCACGAGTTTCCATGTGGCCGGAGAGCAGCAGCTCCAGCAGACACCCTGCACGGCCCCACCACACCAGACCCCGCTCGTGCTCCGCACGGGAGACGGGAGACCTCGTGCTTTGGGAAGAGCCGCTCCCCAGACCTGCGCACGCAGCGGGCATTGGGAGCTTCACCCAGTGCCACAGGGCGCAGGACACAGTATGCACCGGGCCGGCTCAGACATGGGCCTCGGGGTTTGGGATTCGTGGGGCAGAGACCTGCCCGCGGGTCATGGAGCAGGGGGTGAAGGGCAGCGCTGCTTGGAGAAACATGGAGAACCCGGTTCCCTGCACTGACATGGAAGCGCTCAACTCAAACCAGGCGGAGGGTTCTCTGCAGGACCGCGGC